GGCCTGGCGGCAGGGGGCGCGCGGCCGGGCCGAGGAAACTTGGCGGCGCCAACTCCGCCCGGCCGCTCTTAAAGGGGCCGCGGCCGGGGCGACACGGGGGGCCATTCGTGTCCCGCGTCCGGGGCAGCCTGGCGTTCTCCGGGCTGTACGCTGTAACCGAACCTGAGACCGGCCGCCACCGGGGACTGAAACTGGATCTCCTAAGCAGACCTCAGGAGCCTGTTTGGAGACTGCACAGCTACTCTCGACCCGGCCACTGGAGCCAGATGGGGAGAGCCCCGGCGCAGGTGCGTCTGCCACGAGCACCAGGGACCCAGGCGCAGGCCTGCGGGTGAGAGAGGCAGGAACGGTGCCCCTTCCAGTCGGGCCCCTGGAGAGCAGAACCTGGGGATGACCTGCCAGTGGAACCGTGCCCGTGGCAGGACACAGGGCCCCCACCCAAGAGCATACCCACAGCCCTGCAGTCCTGCACGTGTTTGCACAGCACTTTGAAAATTGACTCGAAAAAATATTAGCACCTGTAGGCTCAGGATTCGAGGTGCATCTCCATCGCCCGCCGAACCTAGGGCATTGGACAAAACGTGGACAAACATTCGTGTCCGTCTTAGAATTTGTGTCTTTCTTGGTTCCCACATAAATGAGCTCCTTTGAACTGTAAGTTATTATTTTTCCCACTTTATGCACAAAGAACAGTGCTCCAAGAAGTTGAAGGACCAAGAAAGACTACGGAGTTGGTGTGTTGGAAAGGACTCAGATCTTCCCAACTAAGTCTTTGATTTCCTAACAGTTTTCTTAGCAACCCAGTTCATCCCAGATACTCAGGATTTTCACCAAATTAAGACGCGCCTACATTGAATTTGAATTGCCTAGAAAGGAGGAGATCAAATTAATTTTGTTTTGAGAGGGTTTTGTTAAGCATTTTCAGCTTTTTTATACATTTAATAAATATGTATTGGTTGTCTGAGGCCAAGAGTGCTTATGATCTCATTCTTCGAAAGTGGCAAGAGCCTGTCTGCAACCCAGGCAGTCTGACTCTGTCCAGTAACCGCTGGGCAGGCCTCCCGTGGGAAGTAGTAACTAAGTGTTTCAAACAAATGAATACATTGTAAGGTCCCGCCTTAACCTGGCTGTTGCTTCTGGGTGTCACACTGACCTGTAGGTGGAGTGCAGCTGGAGGCTGGAGGGTCAAGGGAGCCCCCGCTTTCCTTCCATTCACCTGTGGACAGGCACTGCTCTCAGGATCTCAGTGCTTGGGCTTGGGAGGTCACAATGCCGATGGGGGTGGATCACACACCAGTGAGAGACAGAATGGGAAGCCACCTGATTAGAGGTGTCTGACCCTTTAAATAGTGTAAGCCTGAGTTACTGAGAGTTCGTCTTCTTTTTTTCTTTGCCCTTCTGCCTGTTCCTGCTACTGCTGTCCCGTGATCTTCACTAAACACAGCCACTACTAAGAGGTGTACACTTGGCAAATCTTTCCTTGTAGTGCACAAGAACCTGGACTATCTTTGGCCCATTCAGTTGTAACAGGAAAGTGCGGGGCAAAGATTTGCAGCTGATGAAGCTTGCGGCCATTCTACATGTTTCTTCACAGTTCCTCCAGACCCCTCTTCTGCTCAGGCCACAATTAACTCCTGCTGCTCCTCCCACCACAAGCACCTTCTCTGCCCAGCTGAAGCCCCTCCCGCCTCTTCCCCATACCTACGCTTTCTTCTACTGTTCTAGCTTTGAGAATCCGCAGGTGGAACTGGACAGACAGCCATTCTCACTGCGGGAAAGACTGGAATGGATCTTAGGAGACACAGGCAGAAGCTACGCCATGGTGAGACGAGAGGCAATAAAGCTAGATGCTGAAGTGAATGGTGAACACCATGCAGCGAACTGTTGTGACCCCAAGATAGCAATTACAAAATGAATTACTTTATATTTCATGTTTATCAAAGAGCCAGGTTTAATTTGTTATTTATCCTCATCACAGCATACATAACATACGGAAACAATTTATCACATATTAAGACATAATGTAAAAGAGCACCATTGCAACACACTTATTCATGCCCAGCAAACCTCTCCATCAATATCTCATGCCCTATGGGACTTCCTGGGCAAGAGACAGTGAGTAATTTGCCTGCATTGAGTAACACTAGAGTACTCTAGCCCTAGGTTCCCTTTTCTGGTGGATGGATAAACATTGCCTGTGATGGGATAGTTTTCCATTTGTTGTCCAAGAGCTTAGCAAGCAGTAATGCTAACCAATATTATTAAACCGCCCTACCTTGTAGGACATGTAGCTGAAGTGTCAGGTACCTTTAGGTGTCTAATGAATAAAGAATGATAATTTTTAATCTGTAGTTGACCAGGAATCCCTTCTAATGGTTCACAGTATTAAAACAAAATAATTTCAGCTTTCAAGAAACTGTTTATAACATGCACTATTTTTCACTAAAAATTAGTTGAATTAGAGTTACTTCTAAAACCTTTGGAACAATTGACATAATTGATTAAAATTAGTAAAGTATAATACAGATAAATAATTAGTATAATCATGTCCTTACCTTTTTTTCTTAAGTAGGTACCAGAACAATCTTTATTTTTATTTATTAGTATATGTTTGCAGTAGATAATGATTATGTTCCTCAGAGAGGGGTGGTACATGTACATAACTCTTTCCCCTCCTCTTCCTTCCCTCTCCCATTTCTTCTTAACCCCCTTCCCATTTGAGAAAGACCTATCTTCCTTCTATTATCTTTTACCTTGCCGTTTATTTATATTTTGGTTTTCTCATATGAGAAGCCATGTGATATTTAAAATTATGTGTCTGATTCACTTCACTTTCAGTCTCAAAGTGCATCTGTTTTTCTACAGATGACTCAAATTTATCCTTCTTTATGGCAGAGTAGTAGTCCATGGTGTATACATACCACATTTATCATTTGTGTGTTCATAAACATATAGGCTGCTTCCAAGATTTAGCTATTCTGAGATGTGCTGCCATAAACATGAGCATGCATGGGTTACTGTTGTATGATGTCTTTGACTTTTTTGGAGAAGATATCTAGAAGTAGAATAGCTGGGTCAGCTGGAATTTCTAGTTTTAGGAATCTCTGTACTGGTTGTACTATTTACATTACTATCAACAATGTAGATTTCCCCTAACCCAGCCTTTCCAGCATTTGTCATTATTTGATTTTTCTATGACAGCCATTCCTTTTGGCATAGGATGGAATCTTGGTGTTGCCTTAATGTACACAGTATAATCTTTAAAAGAGAGAAAAACATGGGCATGGTTTTTCATTTCTTCCTTCCATGTTTCAAAGCAAAGTTATTTATAAGGGTGTTTATTACACTCCTGTAATCCCAATACTTTGGAAAATTAAGGCAGGAGGATCATCGAGTTCAAGCCAAGGCTGGGCAATTTAGCAATTTAGTGAGATCCTGTCTCAAAATTTTAAAAAGGTAGGGAGGGTCTGGGATACAGTTAAGACCTCTAGTACCCCTCAGAAAAAGAGCAAAGTATTTGGGTTAATTTGAACTTGGCAAGAAAGAATTATCTTCAGAAGTGTTTATCGGAAATACTTGATTGTATTCATTTATCGTCTGTGTCTTTTTCATTACATTCATAATTTATTTTTTATTCTTTTGACACCTAAAATTTATGCATATTTATATAGGATCATGTGATGTTTCAAGTATACATTATATAATGGTCAAATCAGAGCAGACATATCTATCTCTTCAAACATTTATCTTATCTTTATGGTGAAACCTTTTAATAGCTTTTCTTCTACCTTTTTCAATAGATAGCACATTATTTTGTGTTGTCACCCTACTGTGCAACAGAACGCCAGAAGTTATTTCTGCTGTGTAGCTGTGACTTAGTACCTGTTGGTCCTCTTTCCCCATTCCTCCTTCCCTTCTATTCTCTCAGCATCTGATAACTACTGTTCTATTCTCAACACCCAAGAGATCAAGCTTTTTTAGATTTTACATGTGAGTGAGATCATAAGACTCTTTCTGTGCCTGGCGTTTTTCTGTCAAATCCATGTTGTAACAAATGACAGAATTTCATGCTTTTTATGGCTGAGTAGTATTCCAGTGTGTGTGTGTGTGTGTGTGTGTGTGTGTGTGTGTGTGTATCAAGTTTTATTTATCCATTCCTCAGTAGATGGACACTTAGCTTGATTCCATATCTTGGCTGTTGTGAATATCATAAGTAATTCCAGGTCTTGGCTATTATAAATGGGAGTCCAATAAACACGGCAGTGTAACTGTCTCTTCAGCATACTAACTTTATTTTCTTTGGATATATATATATATACCCATTAGTGGGATTTCTGGATTCTATGGTAGTTCTATGTTATTTTATTGAGGAATACCACACTGTTTTCCATAAAGATTGTATTAATTTACATTTCCACTAACAGTGTGGGAGAGTTCCCTTTTCTTCACATCCACTTGCTACTCTTGTCCTTTTTGTAGTAGCCATCCCAACTGGAAGGAGGTAATGACATATTGTTGTTTTGGTTTGCATTTCACTGATAATTCTCTGATTTTGAGCATTTTGTCATATATGTACTGACCATTTGTGTCTCTTTTGAGAAATATCTATTTAAATCTATTGCCAATATAAAATTTTTTTCCTATTGTTTTTCAAATTCCTTTTATATTCTGGGGATTATGTCTTGAGAGATGTATAGTTTGCAAATATTTTCTACCATCTTGTAGTTGTATCTTTAATTTTGTTTCCTTTGCTATGCAGCAGCTTTTAAGTTTGATGAATCCCATTTGCTTTTGTTGTCTTGTGTTTTGGGCTCTTAAAAAATCCTTGCCCACGATACTGTTTTAAAGCATATCCCCTGCATGTTGTAGTGGTTTTATAGCCTCAAGTCTTACATTTAGGTCTCTCATCCACTTTAGTTAATTTTTGTATGTGGTGAAAGATAGGGGTCTAGTTTCATTCTTTTGCAGGTGGATATCCAGTTTTCCCTGCACCATTTGTTAAAGAAAACATTCTTTCTCAGTGTGAGTCCTTAGCACTTTTGTTGAGAATCAGCTGACTATAGATGTGTGCTTTTACTTCTAGGCTCTCTATTCAGACTTTGGCCTGCATGTCTGGTTTTTGTGCAAGTACCATACTGTTTTGATGACCATACCTTTTAAAATATTTTGATGGTAGTGTAACGCCTTTTGCTTTGTTGTTTTTGCTTGATTGCTTTGGCTATTAAAGAGTTTTTTCCCCTATCATTTCAGATAAATTTTAGGGTTGTTTTTTTTTTTTTTTTTTTGTAATTCTGTAAACAGTGTCCTTGATATTTTCTTAGTAATTGCATTGAATCTAAAGATCACTTTGAATATATGGACAATTTAACAATACTTATTCTTCTACTCTATGGACATGAGATGCTTCCCATTTTTGTTGTGTGTCCTCAGTTTTTTTCGTCAAGTTTTGTAGTTTGCAATGTAAATATATTTTACTTATTTGGCTACATTTATTCCTAGCAATTTGTTGTTGGTATTATAAATGTGGTTGCTTTCTTGTTTTCTTTTTCAGATAATATCTGACTTATTTGTGTATAGAAGAAAGTCTATAGATTTTTGAAGTTGGTTTTGTGTCCTGCAGCTTTGCTGAACTTACTCATTGTTGCTAACAGTCTTTTTGTGGGGCTTTTAAGATTTTCCACAGGAGATTATGTCATCTGCAAACAGTGACAATTTGGCTTTTTCCTTTTCAGTTCAGATGCTCTTTATTTCTTTTTCTTGTCTAATTGCTCTGGCTAGGACTTCCTTATCTTGTTCCAAGTGTTAGAAA